AAAAATAACAACACTTTGTCAGGACCATGAGGCGATCATTCCTACCAACTTTCAGTTCAATCGGTCCAGCAGAACTTGACTTTAAGTTTGAAATAGGTTTTCAAAATGGCGGCCGTGGCGGCCATATTGGATTTCTGATCGACCCGAAAAATAACAACACTTTGTCAGGACCATGAGGCGATCATTCCTACCAACTTTCAGTTCAATCGGTCCAGCAGAACTTGACTTTAAGTTTGAAATAGGTTTTCAAAATGGCGGCCGTGGCGGCCATATTGGATTTCTGATCGACCCGAAAAATAACAACACTTTGTCAGGACCATGAGGCGATCATTCCTACCAACTTTCAGTTCAATCGGCCCAGCAGAACTTGACTTTAAGTTTGAAATGTAAAATGTTAACGGACGACGGACGACGGACGACGGACGACGACGGACGAAAACGGATAGCAATAGGTCACTTGAGCTAAAGCTCAGGTGACCTAAAAATGCCTAGTTTATTTATAGCCAGTATATATTTTCAACACACATGATTATCTCATGATACCCCAAAATACCACCAGTCTTTAAGTCCTGGACTGAGTAAAAAGAAGAAGGACTAGTTAATGTTCCATAACTGTTAGTCCTGCAGACTATTATTTTTCTAACACCCTAGCTCTTCCTAACCAATACTGATCGGTGTCCGACATTTACCGAGGCAACGACAAGTAAGGATTAGTTGATTAATTTTGTGAGGAAAATAATTAGTGTCTTACAATGACATTAATTACTTTAAGCTTTATTACACACCAGGTAGAGCATCAGTCTAGAGTTCAGACGTCCCGGATTCAAAATCCTGGTCTTGCCATGCTTTAAAATGTTCTCTCCTGTTACAAAAGTACCTGTGACCAATTCTAGTTTTAAGTACCTATGTGTGTTTGCTTTGCATACATTGGGTATATTAAAAACCTGCGTTGTAAATAGTGTACATTGTCTTCAGGAGGTAAAGACTAAATGGAAAAAAGGATAAAGACTACAGTTGTCAGACATGTGATGGAAATGGACTGGGACCGATCGTCAGCTACCAGACAGCTCAATTGGTTTGTGTGTTTGCTCAGATGCCTCGAGTTTGAATCTTCTTCGCTGGTTGAATTAGGAAATTGACAGGAGAAGAATATTCAAACTCGAGACCTCTGAACTCTATAGACATTAATGAACTATTAATTATTATATTGCAGGTATGCAAAAACGTTTGGTATAAAAACACAAGTATACAATAAACATGTTGATGGATTCAGTATGACAAAGCAAAATACTTTTGTAATGACATAGATTTTCACAAGCACGATTGATTGCATTTTGTCATGGGATTTTTGGCTACTGTTAACTTTCGTTTTCATGCAGTCCGCCAGTTCGCTATATATAGGTTATTGTTACTCGGGAAACAAATAATATACAACATACATCAATACATGACACTCATTTAGAATGAATCTCACCTGCTGGTTAGCTGACACGAGTTGAACGTTTGTGTATTCTGCAGCATTTCCTCCTTGGGCCTTAGTCCTTAGATTGTACTGAGAGACAAAAAAATTGGCATATCCTATAATTTCGGGGTCGGATATGTCGGCCTTGGAGTAGCCACCGGGAACTCCAGAGCCATAACAGCAGGCTACAACACAACTTAAAACAATAAGAACGTTCATCCTTGATACTCCAAGTGAATTCTTGGCTGTTGAAATCCCTATGTGTGGATTTATAAAATTAACTTATCTGCGTCTTGTGACATGTTTATATACAATAAACAACGCCACCTGGCGGGAAGATGTTAACCAACGTGTAGATAAGTCGTGAAGGCCTCAAATTTAAGGATGTACCCTACTACTATCACTACTACTACTACTACTACTACTGATATTTCTTTCCTTCTTTACCGAATAATTCACAATGTTTACAAACTTAACTTACATTTATTTTTTTAACTTATTTTTGGACTAAATAAAGGACCCCATTGGAAATTATGTTTTTCAAAACTTTCATAGGCCATCCTAGGTTAAAGATTACCAGTTCAAGATTAATATTCAGTCTGTACCTCCAAAATTGTATGTGATATTCATATAAACTGTGATAATACTACTACCTCGTGCTAAATATATGCTTTTTACTTGAAATAATAAAACTTTTAGTCATAAGCATTTTATGATATCTGAAGGTTAGTCTTTCATCAAATACCATTCTGCGATCTCATTGCTTGTGTAATGTAATTTTATGTTCGCCGTGTATCTTTTACCTGAATAAACATTATTTTTATTATTATTATTGTCAGGCCTATTTCTTTTCAAAAATGGCGTGTCAACTTTAAATCAGGCCATTAGATTGTCGATTTAATCATAAGAGCCCTGTGAAGAGTGAAAGCAGCTAGTTTTTTAGTCGGTCGTTAGGCTAAATCTTATTTTTTTTTCTATACAATTGTATATATATTTATATATTTAAATCATTCTATGTCTGTGTCTTCAACCACGTTATGTGAAATAATTGTTTCCAGCCACAGGGACATAGGAATTTGTTACAGCTATAGTTTGACCTGAACTAAGGTGTTCAGAGTAATTTAGCCGTTTTAGGGGTTTAGATAAATTTTCGGTAAAAATGCCACCCCAATGATGATATCAGTATAGGATCTTAAATGAGTTTTCATTTCATATGAGATTTTATGAAACGAGTCTTAGGAGTTTTTATTTTTGCGAATCAAACGGAGACAGCCATTTTGTTGCGCCATTCACAATTTATACGTCACGTCATTGTCCATATTATGACATCACAATCGATTTCTGACTGGCACAGCCAATGAAAAACGCTCCAGTGTATATTACACTAGTGACATATGTAAAAATATTACACGGGGCGGGGCGAATTCACTGGATAACAGGTAGATTATGTGATAAATATATATATATATGCTCTTAACTGCATGTTCTGGATAACTAAAAAAGAACATTTGCGTTTGCCTCGCCCATGTCATTATTTTTTTTACTAATTTTCATTGAGTTCAGTGCAGGCGGACCCAAAGATAAACCTCTGTTCGATAACAGGTCTTCCAGATTTTGTTTATGTTTTTTTATGGGGGGNCTTATGAAATTTTTCTATTGGAATCTCCCGCTTTTAATTGATACTGAAGAATCCCACTGCACCAATGACACTGAAGATAAACGAACGACGACTTTTATTTTAGATGGGAGTTAAAAAATGTCCTAATGGAAACTGGCAGCTTAGAGCTGTTGTCTTTAACACTAGAAAGAAATTGCGAAAAAGTTAACCGCATCGATGTCGACCTAATTCTTGGCGGACGTTGTGGATGAATTTTGACCCTCTTCGTCGACTGATTGAAACATCTCTCGGCTAAAGATGTGACCAGAATTGCATCTGATAGAAACCAAATATTTGGATCAGATTCACCCATGAGTCTGTAGTTATAGATGTCAACAGAATACTACTTGTACAAAAGGCCTTCGCGAGAACATCAACCGATTCTGGTTGAACGTATGTAAAAGGCGCGTTGAGGCATCTGGGCCCGTATTCAGGAAACCGTTCCCATGCTCAAACATGGATTCTGTGCTCAAAACAATTTTCTTGTAACTCACTTAAATCATGCTAAACGATCAAAAAGTCGAACGTAAATATCCAAATCATTGACAAAATCAGATATTTTTATAAATTTATAACGGGAACAAGAAATACGGCTCGAGCACAAAACCCATGCTTAAGCATGAGAACGGTTTCATGAATACGGGCCCTGACCTCCTGGTATGTAACCATGCTTCATCGTTCGTTGGTCATTACCAAAGAACGACACTAGTGCAAATGCTTGCTTAATACCGAAGACTTCGGACCAATGTTGTTGACTTGACCAAAGTACCCGAGGGGACAGTACTCGAACCCTCATTGTTTCAATAGTTAGAAATATCCGACTACACATTCTTTATTCTTGGTCTTGTGTAGATGCCAAGTTCAAGAGGGACATCAAAACTCACCTCTTCACGTCTGCATTTTAGAATCTTTGCAAAGACGTCATGTAAATACCACCCTTTTATTTGTTCAATGTGCACATTGCTTGCTGAAATGTATAAAAGTGATTGTAAGCCTTTGTTTTTTGTTTTCACAATTATAACCATAACTATTATCCATATGTTGTAAAGCGCTTTAGAGTAATTTTACAAATTATATAGGGCGCTATATAAATGTTGTATATTATTATTATTATTATTATTATTATTACAGGAAAATCAAACTAAGGTGTTCAGAGTAATTTTATATGCTTTAGGGGTTTAGATCGACTTTCGGTAAAAATGATACCATCAAGGATTATATATATATTCGAGAGGGATGGAAAGCTGAGAAGGATGGAAAACTCTCGATGCATTTTTACAGAAAGTCGATCTAGCCCTAAAAGTGTCATTTTTTTTTACTCTGAACACATTAGTTTAGGTCCAAATATAGGTGTAACAAATTCTCAGGTCTCTGTGGACGATCTTTATAGGAGCCGTAAGTGCCGAGCTCTCAATTGACGATTAAGACTAGCAGTTCGAACGGTTCACGACAACAACAAAACATTGTAGACACAATCTGCTAATCTCTGGAAGCAATAAAAACCCAACTTATACACTCGCAACGATACAACAGATTTCTTCACAAGGAAGGTCAACAATCTACGAGCAAGCATCGGACACGGCCAAACATCGGATAATGACCAGTAGAGGTCACTAACGACAAAATACAGAGCTGACCAAAACAACACACATTATATCACCGGACAAGATTAGTTTAATGCATCTGAAAATGACAACAAATGAATAAGACACAAATATCGATGAGATGATTTGTCAATGACGTCATCCCAACGACCAATCAATAATCGACTTTTATCGACATTCTTCTCGGAGGGCGAGGCGATGAATCTGATGAAATATCAAACAATAAATCATTTAACAGGTAAAACTTCATGAGGAAACGTTGGTTTAAATGGGGCAAGGGGCCGCGTAGTCCGATTTATTCTGACGTTTTATCGACTTATTTTTATATCGGTCTGGCGTCGATTAATGTGAGACCGATATAAAAAAAAAAACGATAAAACGTCAGAATAATTCGGACTAGGGGGCCGCGGTGGCCAAGTGGTTAAGGCGTCAGACATTCTGCTACCACTAACTAGCCCTCCACCAGTGGGTCGCGGGTTCGAGGCCTACGTGGGGCAGTCGCCAGGTACTGTCCGCAGGTCGGTGGGTTTTCTGCGGAAACTCCGGCTTTCCTCCACCACCAAAACCCGGCACGTCCTTAAATGACCATAGCTGTTAATAGGACGTAAAACACAAACAAACCAAACCAAAAGCTTTAATGTTAATTTGAAATACAAGATTCCTTTTCAACATTTTTCTTGTCATACTAGAGGTTTTATAGACAGGTTGATGACAGTATATATTTGATTTTTTTCCCTGATCGATACTTAACCCCCGAAGGGCAGTACGTACCTAGGGATGGACAGGGTACCAGTAGTTGATTTGACGCTGGATGCACAATGGGAACAGCATCATGTGCTCCTCCTCAAAATTGCTACAGACACTTTTTTCCTAGTACAGGTCATCTCGTGGCAGCTATTTGGTCAGTTCCGCTGACAGCACTAGTCCATAGCTGAACAACATCATGGTCTTTGACCGCTCTGCAAAATTGGCCTTGTCCCTCTTACGAGATCCATAGGGCTTCCATAAGCATCTTCTTTTAACCTGACACGGAGCAGTTCCACAGACCTGTACAAGCGGGTATATATGATAGTACTATCATGTATTTAATGTGAGAAAGCTACAAAAGTTTACCAAGGAAAAGCTGAGAAGGATGGAAAACTCTCGATGCATTTTTACCGAAAGTCGATCTAACCCTAAAAATGTAAAAAATAATAATACTCTGAAAACATTAGTTTAGGTCCAAATATAGCTGTAACAAATTCTCAGGTCTCTGTGGACGATCTTTATAGGAGACTGTTGACGATTAAGACTAGCAGTTCGAACGGACCACGACAACAAAAATACATTGTAGACACAATCTGCTAATCTCTTGAAGCATTTCGTTGCCGTTTTGGCTAGAAAATATGTTGATAAACTTATACATGTTATTCGATTGACTATACCTAAACACAAGCGAAAATACGATTATAAGGTTGAAACAATGCGAATATAAAGTATTTGACTCCTAATTGCATCAAAACTTACATAAAAGAACAAAACAAAAGACAAAACTTACATAAAAGAACAAAACAAAAGACAAAACTTCGAAGGCAACCGTAAAAGGCCACATTCAAAGTGTTAAGAATTTGACAATGAAAGGGAAGGAACTGGCTGAACAAAGTTGCTGTAAGACTACAATACACCTACTTAAATATGAACTCAGCCATAAGTCGCTAGTGGCATCGGTACTTACGACTTCTCCATTCCCAGAAAATTGAAGTCATAACGAACAACCTCTCTTTGGTACTGTTTGCAATCGACGGCGCATGTCTCAACAGCAGGCTTAGAAGAATACATAGAAGGATGCAGAATACCTCACTTCCAATCGCTAGAAATAAATAAATGATAAAAACATTTCTTTATTTTTCACACAACTAATTGTCCCAGGCTCACTAATTCCATCCTCGATATCCTGAGGGGTTACGCTAACTTGCAGAGAGAGAAAGTGAGCGTAATCTATGGCAAGCCAAGTTGTCATTTATTCATGGAGCAATGTTGATCCAGTTCTTAACCAAATTATATAAGATATCTCGTAAAGTATATAAGATATCTTATAAATTATATAAGATATCTTATATGTTTATAAGATATCTTATATGTTTATAAGATTGCCATAGTAATCCCTGGATATCGACGATGACTAAGTCAGGCGAGTTATAAGTGTAATTTGGACCAAAATGTCCACGTAACGCTATCGGAAGTCAGAAGGACCCATGGAATTTTTTTATCCCCAGTCAAAATGTCATTCTACAGAAATTCTGAATACTCACTACTTTACAATTAAAGTTTCATTATGCATGTCCATAACTGTCATTGGTATCTAGAATAACGATCCGGCTTACCCATGCCAGGTCGGCACTTTCTCGATTTCCATTGCGGTGAAGTAATGTTCACATAGTTGTAGACGCCTTCAAGCTTCTTAGGGCGCGTTTTGATACAGTTAAAAACTTTGATTGTATTTACACTTCTGGTGCGCTTGAATAAGAGGTATAATCAGGTGTGCAGATAGTACCGCGCCTCGAATTTGAACAAATGTTTATTTTCCAAAACTTGTTGAGTCTGTTCTTAAAAGTGTTCGGATTTGGAGAGTTCACCACCTTGTCTGGCAAATTATTCCAGATGTCTAACACCCTGTTACAGAAGTTATTTACTAGAATCCCCATTACTCTCGTGGTCCAGCCGATAAATTGAACCTGGAACAAGCGACAATTAGTCCTTAGATAGATATGGGAATTGGTTTATGTGACGTAGTATGGCAATATAAATAGGCTACGGTCCTTATGTCGAGCGTTTCATTAAACAAAGGCACAGGGCTATTAATATATACGGAGTGCTTGGTAGCGAACAATCTGTCCTTCAAAAACCAATCCTTCAAAAACCAAACATGATATCGTGGTTTGCTGATGTACCCTTCACAGCATACAAGTAATAAAACGATCGTGTATATATATATATTGTAATTTTCCATTCATAATCGCCTTTTTATGGAAAGGACGTCCCTAAATAATTCGTGATCTTGATAAAATAATTTTCCAATTACAATCGCCCTTTTTTTTATAGAGAGAACTTTTGTAAATAGTTCGAGATCAACTTGATAAAAAAAGAAAACCTTGAAGTTTACGGGAGATAATTCCTTATTTAGAATTTAGAATAAAACATCAAATTAATTCAGTTTCTGAATATATACGTCAGGAAAAGATTTTTACGTCTGATCGTATTCAGTGTCAACCAGGTAATGTATTACTTTACATTGACGAAGTTCAACTGTACACAACCCGGATTAACGATGTTCGTCTAACACAATCCGGATAAATGAAGTTCTACTGTAAACAATTCGGATTAACGAGGTTGTCATACACCATCCAGTTTAACGGGGTTATACGGTACTAACAAAAATACTAAGTTAACCGGGAGAATTCCTTATTTAGAATTTAGAATAAAACATCAAATTAATTCAGTTTCTGAATATATACATCAGGAACCGATTTTTACAGATGATCTTAGTCCTGATCAACCAGGTAATGTATACAGTCTACATTAACGAGTAGGTTCTACTGTACACAATCTGTATTAGCGAGGTTTAACTGTACACATTCCGGATTAACGAAGTTCTACTGTACACTATCCGGATTAACGAGGTTTCTATTGTGCACTATCCTGATTAACGAGGTTCTAAGATACGCACGTCGAATTTACACTGTTCTGCTTCACACAGTATGGATAAGGCTTTACTTTATTAGATATATTCCATTGTAATGCAGGGAAGATGGCTTACCAAAGCACCAGTACTCTTACTCATATAAGTGGTAATCAGTAAAGATTGATCTTTGGAAAGTAGATTTATAGATAGCTATTAAACCATTGACATTTTTTATTTTTGAAATTGTTGAATAAAAAATATGAAATACATCGATATGCCTGTTTTTTATGACCTAGGACATGTGGAGTCTTAAAAATATTAATTTAGTTTTTCGTTCGGTCAATACAAAGCAGAATGAAAAATAAGATGGATAGCATATTCGGACGCAATCAATAAATATTCCGTGGTTTTACAAACACGTATCTTATTTGGAAAAGTGCCAGGCCTGCGAACAATATCGGACTTGAGCAGGACTACTCATTATTAAAGAATATTATGTAAATTGATTTTCTCGCTCAAGCAAACACACCACACACGCCTACAAACAAAGACATATTCATTTATAAAGCATGTAACATACTTTAGTAAATGATATAACTGTTCTTAAGAAACCATAAAAGTTATAATTATTTTTCTCGAGACTACTACTTCCGGTGACGATCGGGGATAATTTCAAATGTAAGTAATTTTGCAAAAGTTTGACGCGGTGACGTTCCCCCTTACATGTGTTTTTTTACCTCACAACACACACAACAGTATATATGAAATAGAGAAGAATTAATACGACCGTATAATTAGGCACATACATCTATAAATTGAGCTTTTAGAGCATGTTAAATGTGAATGATGCTACTTTCTGTATATGGTTCACAGCCGACCCCTTTGCTCGCTGCCGTGTCGGTCCCCCTAACACCATTTGTTTGGTCACACGTCTTGATTTTGTGTTATCGTCAAATGCTCGTATCACGATTATAATATGGCTATTAAATCATTATCATGTTCTTGTTTGAAATGTTAAAAACACATGCATTTCCACCTTTTAGCATAAAGGCGTAGCCTTAGCATCATTAATCAAAGGGAGCTAACCCAAGTTTATCTGGCTTCCCAGCGAAAACAAAATAAAACTATCCCAAATGCAAGGGAAAAAATAACTTTTAATTAAAAATTGTATGCTTTACATTTGTTTATTTCGTACGAGGTGGGCGTAGGATCAGGGTAAATCAAACTTGAAAGATTACCTTCTAAATTAGAGTTTTGCATATTTAATTAATTTACCAGGTAGGTCTAGTACAAATTAGCAGCAGCATGTACACCTGCTTGAATGTTTAACTTTATTTTGTATGAAATGCAAAGAAATTGGTTAAGCATTTACACTAGTTTTGCTGGGATAGAACACATTAGGGGAAATGGTAAATTTCAAAAGACAACTAATAGGCCAATTAAATTGAATTAATTTCTGTATTTCTTAAAAATTTAAAAGATATGTTATATATATAATTAAAACAAATTCTATTATGATCGAGTCTGATTAACATTTATAACCCATGATATATACGTGTATTCTAGGTCTTATAAGAAAAAAACTTAACATACTATAGAATTCTGTATAAATTTCTTTCTAAGACCATATCGTCAAGGTTGTTCAAATTGGATAACCTCAATCAGGGACAGTATATAGCACACTGCTATCTTAAAAGTTCTTATTGACTTCTTCTGATAACCAAAAGGTCATGATATTTGGCCAGTAGTATGCTGGGGTTAGGGCTGGCTATAGCTATCATATTTATTTGACTGAATGACCTCGGCATATTTTCAAGGTCTGTCATTGAGGGATCCAACCTGTCAAAACCTTAACACCTTTTCTAAATAGCCAAGAGGCGCCTTGGTTTATGATATTTGGCTGGTAGCATACTTGGATAGGAAGCTACACAGTTTGTTTAAATAAAATTACTTTGACACAATTTAAGGTTTACAGGAGTCGATTATTCCAAAACCTTTTAAAAAAAAATTCTTATGAATAAGCACGGACTTAGATAATCTAATCTAATTCCGTGGAATAAGTAAGAGGCATAAGGATTTAGGTTATGATTTTGGCCAATAATATGTGGGGATGCAGGGATATTCAGGTTGTAATAAATTAATAAGCCCAAGTATAGGTATCTGGGATAGAGTTAAATTTCTTTAAATATGCTTAAAAGTTCAAACAATGATCATGTTATCTAAAGCAACCATGAAGATACAAAGCCATGATTACAGAAAACCGTGTCAGCTAAGACTAAGCACTGCAAATCTTTTTATGCTAGATCAAAAGTCAACTTTGAGCTCTGGCCAGTGTATACAGGTCAACAGGCCTAGGGGCTTTAATGGGCAAACAGCCTCAAAATCTTGTGAAGTTCCTGTAGCCGAAGGTCATGATATTTGGTCAATAGATAGTTGAGATAAAGTTATATAAAGTTTTTAGGTTACCTGACCATAGGTCATGGTAACCTATTGTGATAACCTTTTGTCCGTCCTCGTGCGTTAACTTTTCCTTGTGAACACTGTAACTTGAGTAAATGTTAACCGAGTTTGATGAAACTTTGTATGCAGCCATATATTAATAAGATCACGGACGAGTTCTAAAATGGGAATTATTCCACGGTAACTTACAGAGTTATTGCCCTTTGTAATAATATTATTATTGGACTTTGTGAACACGAGAACTTGAGTAAATGTTAACCGAGTTTGATGAAACTTTGTATGCAGCCATATATTAATAAGATCTCGTATGCAGCCATATATTAATAAGATCTCAAACGAGTTCGAAAATGGGAATAATTCGATGGTAACTTACAGAGTTATTGCCCTTTGTAATAATAATATTATTGGACCTTGTGAACATGAGAACTTGAGTAAATGTTAACCAAGTTTGATGAAACTTTGTATGCAGCCATGTATATCAATAAGATCCCGGACTCTAAATGGGAATTATTCGACAGTAACTTACAGAGTTATTGCCCTTTGTAATAATATTATTATTGGACCTTGTGAACATGATAACTTAAGTAATTATCAACCAAGTTTGATGAAACTTTGTATGTGGCCTTCTATCGATAAGATATCGGATGAGTTGGAAAATGGGAATTATTCGACAGTAACTTACAGAGTTATTGCCCTTTGTAATAATATTATTATTGGACCTTGTGAACATGATAACTTAAGTAATTATCAACCAAGTTTGATGAAACTTTGTATGCGGCCTTATATCGATAAGATCCCGGACTCTAAATGGGAATTAATCGACAGTAACTTTCAGAGTTATTGCCCTTTGTAATAATATTATTATTGGACCTTGTGAACATGATAACTTAAGTAATTATCAACCAAGTTTGATGAAACTTTGTATGTGGCCATCTATCGATAAGATATCGGATGAGTTGGAAAATGGGAATTATTTGACAGTAACTTACAGAGTTATTGCCCTTTGTAATAATATTATTATTGGACCTTGTGAACATGATAACTTAAGTAATTATCAACCAAGTTTGATGAAACTTTGTTTGCGGCCTTATATCGATAAGATGTCGGATGAGTTGGAAAATGGGAATTATTTGACAGTAACTTACAGAGTTATTGCCCTTTGTAATAATATTATTATTGGACCTTGTGAACATGATAACTTAAGTAATTATCAATTAAGTTTGATGAAACTTTGTATGCGGCCTTATATCGATAAGATCTCGGATGAGTTGGAAAAATGGGAATTATTTGACCGTAACTTACAGAGTTATTGCCCTTTGTAATAATATTATTACACTATTTTGTATTGGACCTTGTGTTCACGATAATTTGAGTAAATATCAACCAAGTTTGATGAAACTCTGTATGTAGCCTTATATCAATAAGATCTCGGATGAGGGCGAAACTGGGAATTATTTGACAGTAACTTACAGAGTTATTGCCAATTTCACTTCTAAACTTGACGTGATGTTGATTGACATTACACAATTAGCAAGAATAGATGTAAATTCATGTGGTAAACCTTTTTTTTCATTCATGACGCTTTTTCGCTACTAACAAGGTGCTATTAAAATTTTGTGCCTTATTCAATAAATCATTGATTTACGATTTTACTTGTTTCTTTAACCAAGAACAGAAGACATACAGTTACCAAGTTTGTTCAAAACAGACCCCTTGGGTCAAAATTGGAGTCACACCCATTTATTTCAGTTATCGTGTTCACAGGGTCCAACAATAATAGAATTACCAAGGGGAATAACTATGTAAGTTATGGTCAAATTGGTCTGGTATTCAAACTCATATATAAGATCTCATTGATACAAAGCTGCATACAAAGTTTCATCAAAATCGGTTCATATTTACTGAAGTTATTGTGTTCACAAGGAATAAATAATGGACGATGCAGCAAGGTCACTCGGACAGACGAAAAGTATGAATTGGCCCCTGGATGCATATGACAGTCCTAATTTGAATCGGATGTCAGGTGACCGTTAAGGCCCATGGGCCTCTTGTTTGCTATAAATTTATCATTTAACTTTTGAGGTTAAATAGTTCAAATATATATCAAAATCTTCAATATATTGTGGTAAGAGGTCAAATTCAACTTCAATTTTTGCCAGGGTCAAATGTCCATATGGAATTTTATGGTAAGAAAGCTTTAACAAACATATTAAGTTTGATGAAGCCCTATACTAATTATATTAAGGCAGAAGGTATTTTGGATAGCATGCTACATGTATATAAAACTGTCCTATTATTAATGACCTTGACCTATTTTCAAGGTTGCAAGGGTCCTTGTAATTAGGTCATGATTTGGAGACAATGGATATCGCTATCCCTATATAGCTGCTTGTAAGGTATGAAGAGACAGATTTGATCATGCTACCTTGGTTAAAGTTATGATTGATTGAAAAGCTGTGCCCAAAATTTTCTTTCAATGAAAATATTTGGCATAATTGCTTAAACATCCAAATGAGCCACACAGCTAGGCCTCTCATAATTTTTGTAACCGTTGTTATAAAAAAGCATATGACTGAAATACATAATTACAGTTATTATATTTGACCTAACAAGTGCCTCCTAATTCCTTATAAGCATCTCTTATCATTTTTGTCTGTTAAAGGGTCCTATGTGGATTCCTTAATAATAATTTACCAATTTACTGAAAAAAATGAATCTATTGCTTTTTCTTGAGAATTTGATAGGTTCTGCAATCATTAAAATTCCCAGTGCACTTGTTACATTGAATACAGTAATTTTACTCTGTAAATGATAAACAATTCTTTTATCAGTAATGACAGACTGGAATATTGTATCAATTACTATTTTGAAATGTCTTTTACTTTCAGGATGATGTAGACACAGTTACCAAACTTGCAACCAGGCCGTTCGGTATCTGCACAAGTGCACGATGACGTATCACCTCCAAGACCCGCGGTTCTCTACAGAGGGACTGACTCTGTACACAGGAGGGCTCAACACTATGGTCAGGATGGCTGCACCCACTCAATCTGTCAACCTTGCCCCACTTCTTACACACGCCCCCATTCCTACAGCCAACCAAACACAGGGGCAGCAGGGGACTCCACTTGTAGTACACTCAACCTTGTCGATTCCCTCCCAGCAACCAGGACAACTACCACCTCTCCAGACGGTACCACAGGATGCCACAGTTAGCTCTGCTGCACCCCCTGTGAGACAGAAACCTCAGATTTTAGAGAAGATGAAACTGTTGAGAGATTCAGGAAAATACTGCGATGTAGTCATTGATGTAAAAGGGAGACAATTCAGGGTTCACAAAAATGTCCTAGCTGCTTGGAGCCCTTACTTCGACCATCACTTGTTTGGCGATGGGTATACATCTCCAGACCTCATGATCGTCAACTATGATAACTATGAAGTATTTTCAGACCTTCTTGATTTTCTCTATTCTGGATGCATAGCTCCAAGGGAAACAAATTTCCTACAGTTGCTGCATCTGGCTGTGAGCTTCCAAATTGACCCACTGCGAGGAGACTGTGAGGAATACTTAAGATCCAACCTTCACCTCGGAAATTTCATCAGCACTTATTTTCTTTGTCGAAAGTACAGTCTGACATCTTTGGAGGACTTCATTGCCGGATTTCTGCAGATGAATTTATCAGATGCTGTAAAGCAAAACGAATTTCTTTCTCTCCCGGTCGGACGTATTCATGCCTTCCTGTCCACTGGTCGTATGGAGCAAATCAAACCAGAGGTGAAATTGTTTTTGATCATCAGCTGGGTAGGATTTGATGTGCAGGACCGGGAACGTTACCTTGTGATGCTGTTAAAACACATAGACTGGTCGACAGTAGCAAGTGACTTTCTCCTTGAAATCAGCAGGACTGAAAATTTCTTTACAACTCATGAATCTAGTCTGTACCTTTTGTTACAGACTTTGTACAGTTCTCAGATTTCACTGGGGCCGTATGTTGAACTCTTTCCTGCTCTGCGCCAGACATACTCCCACATTCTGAACAACATCGTACAGATTGGTATCGTTACACCGGAAATGGAAACTTTCTGCCCAGTAACTGTCAGTGTGTCATCCATATTGAACTCGAACACGAAACATGATGCAGCGGTCAATACTGAAGTGACCGGACCGGATGTAGAAGCAGCCATGCCAACGCCTAGGAGATTGAGCATCACTCGAAATGTTGATATCAATTCTGATGACAGCGTTGAGGGAAGTGATCAAGAGGAAACTGGAGACTCCACTGAGCCTACCTCTGCCTCAACACAACAGCAAATGCCCCGTACCTACCTAGACGTTCAATCAGGAACCATGAAAATGCACAAACGGAAAGGTATGCCAAAGAAAATCAAACTTATTCTTCCAGTTCCTCCCAAAGGAAAGCAGCGCACGACAAAACAAAAGTCACAGAAGAAAGTAACTGAACCTTCTGGCGTTACAACCAGAAGTAGTCGATCCAAAAAAGCTTTTTCAGAGGTGGAAGACGAAAATGAAGAAGAATTCAATGAGGATGTAAATGGAGATGAAAATAATTTGGATCATACTGATGAGGAAGATGAGGAAAATAATGTAGAAACGGAAAATGTGGATGACTCTGAAGGAGATAAAGATGAATCATCTGATAATGAAATGCAAACAGAGACATCTTACCCTGTATCCAACAAGTCTAAAAGATCTTTAAAAAGAAAGAAGTCCAACTTTGATTATCTGCCTAAAGAAAAGTTGACAAGAGAATGTGGTATTTGTGGATTCACTTCTACGTCATTGGCAGTCATGAAGGAGCACAGAGTCAAAGCTCATTTCAAAAATCTGTACTTCGAATGTAAAGACTGCGACTTTCACACCAGCGTAAATAGAGAATACTTGACACATATGCGACAACACTTCGATGGACCACCGTATCGCTGCAAAAATGTAGGATGTGACTACTCCTGTGATAAACTCCAAAGAGTCATCACCCATCAACGAAGTCACACAGAAGACCGGCCTTACCACTGTCAGATCTGCAACCTTAAGCTCAAATCCAGAAACAACCTGTTCTCTCACCTGAAAACTCACTCAGGTACATATGATTTCAAAAATGGTATCTAATATTGCCTTTGGTTGAGAACTTGATAGGTTCTGCAATCATTAACATTTTTCAAAGTTCCTAAGTTCCCAGTGCACGAGTTACATTAACATTTTGAATACAGTAATTTTACTCTGTAAATGATAAATAATTCTTTTATCAGTAATGACAGACTGGAATATTGATTCAATTGTTATCTTGAAATGTCTTTAACTTTCAGGATGATGTAGACAGAATTACCAAACTTGCAAGCAGGCTCAATATGTTTTCAATTTTGTTTTCTTATCACTGTCTGATTTTAAAGTTTATTTGCTGTGGCCAGCTGGTTACATCGCAGGCAGTGTTGATATCCTTGTTTGGACAAAACAATGAAAACAATGAATTAAGGTCATTGGAGTGTATTGATAAACGGAAACAGGAAGTACATCCCTAGTTGAATAACCAATGTAGGGAGACAGCATCACAATTTCCGCAAATTCTAATGTTTAATATTAAATTGATGAATATTGTATGTTTATTATTGACAGAACAGTGTGTTCTCTCAATATTAAAGTAGTTCAAAGCAATCCAGGCATTAATTCAGGTTTTTTTTTATCAATGAGTCACATGTGTCCATTTTTCTGTACTTCAGGAAACCGGCTACCTATTTCACTACTGTGAAGTTTTTCAAGAACGATAACTCTTACCTGCAATTACTATGTGTATATGGTTTTATTATAAAATGTCAATTTTTATATCGTGTATAGAGAATTAATTCTACACAATTTCAGCATTTATTAAATTGATATACATTAATGCAATACTGATATATGTCAGTATCATTTTTATTGACATTATTTTGTAAAAATATTGTGTCTTTCATTTTTTTTTCAAAATTCACTCCTTTTTACATAAATTTCCATTTAAAATCCTTAAAATTCTGACAACCTATAATTTTTTTTGTGGCAGAAAATGGTGACACAATCCTATTACCTTAAGTGATATTGTGCTATGGGTTGTCAAAGGTTTCTGCACAATAATAAAATCAAATTTAATCATGTTCTGATGAAACTAGGTTTACATTTATACAACACAATATAGAAGGTTTAAGTTCAAATTTAAATAAGATTTCCCTGTGATTTAGCAACACAGCAATTTTATCCGGTAATTTGGTGAAGCAATTTCATTGTTGATGGAAGGGAGGTAACCTTTAAACAATTACATTTTTGGCAAAATTTACTGGTTGTCAGATTGTCTGGGAACTTCTCAAGTAATGTAAGTGATGTTGATTCAGATTTGCAAAAGAAAAAGGGCAAAATAAAAAAAAATAAAAAAAATATTTTTTGTTATGAAATAGCTATAGGGATCAAACATTTTTATTATTTATTGTGTAGCACACTTAAGTACATAATCTGCAAACTTAAATGGGATCACTAGGTTAAAATGTTAAAACAACTTCATCTTAAGAACCAAATAGCTTAGAGTCACAATACTTGGACACTAACTTGCTGGCATGAAGCGCTATAAAGTTTATGAAAAGAAACGATTATTCGTTCTAAAAACCTGACTAAATTAACATGTCATGCTGGTAGCGGACAGGCCGTTAACTGGTGTGTCAGTGTTCTGGTTACCTAAGGCAAGGAGTGAAATTTTTGTACCCCTTGTTACTACAAATACTTCAGCAATTCTTAATTTGGATTTACATGTTTGTTTGTTTTTGTCTTTATAGAAAACCGCCCTTTTGAGTGTGATGTATGTCACTTGAAGTTTCGAACTCGGAACACCAGAGACACTCACCTTGTGACTCACAGTGATGAACGGCCGTATCTCTGTGACTTGTGTGGGTTCTCAACAAAATTCCAGTCTCATCTCATTTCTCACAAGCGAATTCACACAGGTAATTACAAGGGACTTAGGTTATGTGTCGTGGTTCACAAAAGAGAAACTGTTTTGGGAACTCTTTCAGCCCAAAAAAATTATTTTCAGAAAACTGTTTCTATGAAGATATGCAATTTTGGAGAATCAGATTTGGGGAATTGTTCTCACAGAAGAATAATTTTGGAACAATTGATATAAATTATAATGTTGAATAAAAATGTATGTTTTAAGGGAATGGTTCACCCAAAGAAATATAACTTGGGATGAAGGAATTTATTAACGATAACTGATGTTCTCACAAGTTAACTACTTTTAAGAATCCCCGTTTTCTTATATGAAATTATCTCCCTTTGACTGTGATTTGTGTCCTTTTTTTCCAAAGCATGATATGTAAATTAAACTATGGTAGAGAGTTCCACTGCGCCTCCACTGTATACTGGCATTGAAAAGTACTGTATTCATTCAAATAAACACTGTGGTTTGCAAGCCTTTTTAGGGAGTTAAATTATATTGAAATAATTTCCAGTAATGTCACAGAAAATGATTAGCATAACAAATAGCATGATCCAACAGTGCAGGGGATAAGCTCCCTTCTTCAGATTCAAGGGGTACTAATGGTTAAAGCTCCATTGGATTTTGTTGTTGTTGTAAAATGCAGAAAAAAATAGATCTTTTCTTCATTGGTGATACAAATGAAATACAGTGCTAGGATGCTCTATCTTATGTAAATACAGTGCTAGGATGCTCTATCTTATGTAAATACAGTGCTAGGATGCTCTATCTTATGTAAATACAGTGTTAGGATGCTCTATCTTATGTAAATACAGTGCTAGGATGCTCTATCTTATGTAAATACAGTGCTAGGATGCTCTATCTTATGTAAATACAGTGCTAGGATGCTCTATCTTATGTAAATACAGTGCTAGGATGCTCTATCTTATGTAAATACAGTGCTAGGATGCTCTATCTTATGTAAATACAGTGCTAGGATGCTCTATCTTATGTAAATACAGTGTTAGGATGCTCTATCTTATGTAAATACAGTGCTAGGATGCTCTATCTTATGTAAATACAGTGCTAGGATGCTCTATCTTATGTAAATACAGTGCTAGGATGCTCTATCTTATGTAAATACAGTGCTAGGATGCTCTATCTTATGTAAATACAGTGTAACATACATGTACCTTCTGTTACAGGTGATGTATACCCCTGTACATTTCCAGAATGTACATACACTACGCCAAAGAAAAGTCAACTCAAATGCCACTATAAGAAACATGAAGATTTACGTACAAACATTTGTAAGATCTGTTCGAAGGCTTTTAAAGAAAAGAGTCATTTGAATAGACATGAAAAGATCCACTCAAAGGAAGCCGATTACAAGTGTGATTTCTGTAGCTATACCACTCATCGGTGCGACAAACTCAAGTACCATTTCAAGAAACATCACGGGGAAAACGCCACAGCTAAAACTCAGTACAGGAAGAGGAAGACCAAAGAAACGCCTGCTGTTACAGCAAAAACTGCGGCACGACAAGAATTTGATCATGCTTATACCATGCCACTCCCGACGACTTACATCCACGACCTCCATGGCAACGTCCAGGCCATTCCCGGCCTTTTACCCACCAACAACATGAACATTGCTTCCATGTCTCTACCTGTGTCCTTGGCCACCACTCTCGATCAGGACGGAGTTACTATGGAAGATAGACTCAATATTGTTAGCGTTGCTGAGGGCACCAACATCAATGTCAACCAAGACTCGACTATAATTCACACACACAGACTTTCGGTTCAGGACACCGATCATCGTGTGATCATGACAGAGTCTGATCAAAGATCACTTCTGGGGGACACTGATCAGCGGGTGATCATGTCTGAAGCTGACCAGCGGCTACTGCTGCAGGAGAGTGACCATCAGTCCTACATACAGCCCCAGGTCCAGCTACACGTGTCCCAGTCAACAGTCAGTCAGCAGGGTATGATGTCACCCACTTCCGGGCAGTCTCTACAGGCCCAGGCTGGACAGGACTACGGTGGTCTTAGTGCCTTCATGGCCCTGTTTTAACCATGTGGGTTACCATGCCAGTATCTCTATGCCCAAACTGTACATGTTTATTTCTGTGCGGTCATGACCCTGTTTTAACCCTGTGAGGTGTTTGTATAGTGTATACCCATGTAAAACTATGTTGGTCTCAGCAAGGTCATGACTGTTTTGCTCCTATCCGGCATCGATTCCAAGGTAGGGCATGACTAGGGGGAAATTTGTGTCTTCATGGTCCAATTTTCATCCTATCAAATCTCTTTAGTCTCAGGTAGGTCTTGACAACAGTGTATTTATCTAAACCCGTCTAGGCACTAGTCCTAGGTAAGAATTTGGATGATTTCACCACTTTTCATTACCCTGTTAAATCCTTAAACCTGAACCAGACAGATTACATTTTTAACCTGGTGCGTTAGTCACTAAATTCTGCCAAAGAACTTGGTTTAAGTAAAAAGAAACAACTCTTGGTCCATGGTAAAAAGTCTCACTTGCCATCATGTTTGTTTCTGTAAAGTTCAAGAAATGTGAATTTTCTATCTGGTATGGCAGAATTTTGACACGTCATATTGACCTCTAATCTCTCCAAAATTCTTCCAAATAAATAAAATAATGGGATTTTTTTTATTAGTTTATCACCAGAACAAGAAATCAGGCTTAAACACAAAATCTTAGTTTGAGCATAAGAACATTTTCACGAATACAGACTCTGATATCTGAAGTCAATACACAAGTAGGACTAAGGCCCCTTTTGCATGTCGGGTTAAACCAGTTAAAACAGTTGAACCTGAAAGAAAACGATAGGCGCCGATCTCAACAGAGGCTGGCCTCAGGAATATTTGGCATGTGTAGATTGAGGGGTCCAGACGTGCCTGACCCAAACTAAAATGCTGACTATTGCCATTTTGTGTTATTTTTTTTATAAAACAAGGTATCCACATGTAGATTTTGATATATCTTATATGATTTAGTGGAAGTGTGAAAGAAGGACATAATATTCTTTATACATTGTTATTTATTCTCCGAAACTGTGCATTTTTTAAGCACTGCCTACAGTTCTGTCCAAGTGCGTTAGTTTATCATGGAATATTTCTGCGCAAACTAAACCTTTTCAACTGCAATATACGAATGTGACCTAGGTGTTTCTGTTCAGATGTGAACAATTATAAAAAAAAGTACTTGCAAATCTTCATGTTTTAACACTTTTGAGACATCAAGTGGTATTTATTATTATAAATAAATTACTCATACATGTCTCATAATAAATTTCTATTTTTTATTATAAAAAAGCTTTCCAAACAAATAAATTAATTTGTGTAAACGAAGGGTTGTTTCTCCTAAGATTGCTGCAACAGTAGCTGTTATTAGTAAATCCAGTTTTTCTGTTTGAAACAAATACCCACAGAGGATATTGCTCTGGTTACTCCACAATGTGTACAGCGATGTAAAGGTCAGACGTGGCTGGATTTGCATTGAATACTTCTATCTATATTACATCAGAAAATATCTGTTTGATATTACAAGGTTCTGTACATGTATATTATGGTGTATATAATTTATCTGGTTTGATTATTGCAATCTTAACATACTATTAATTCTGGAACAGCCCTCATATATATATGTGTGTTTATATTGATATTGATGGATTTCTCACGAGCTAAAAATATCCTATTTTCTGCATTACCTATGTGTATGTTAAGTTGATACAAACAAAGGTGCAAGTTAATGAATATATGACGACTAATCAGGATTATGCTGCTTATTGATACCATAAGCTTTATCTAAATCTTTAACTTGACTGGAAAATGTCTGTAATCATGACAATGATATTTTGAAAATATTTGTAATATCAATGTAAACAATAGATCATGTTATTAATGTCTTGCATAATAATAATTACTTGCATAAAGACAATCTGATTAAAATGAGATCTTTTCTTCCACTCTAATACTTTATGTTCCAGGCTTTGGAATGTAGAGTATTGGAGGGAAATAAAAGATCTTGTTTTAATTAATTTGATGTAAAGGTTACATGTATGTACATTGTATATTGGTTATCATTTTCATAAAGAAATGCTGCAAAAATGGGTTGTTAAGTCTCTTTGAAGAATATCAAAATCTGTAAGATAAATAAATTGTTTGTTTTATATAAAGGCCATAGATCGCAATTAATAAAATAGTATACATAATGGTTTAATTAGTATATTTTTACAAGACTCAAAGTGTATTATTGTTATCTAAAGAAAGATTTATGGAAAAGGAGCATGAAAAATTATATGCAACTTAATTAAGGAATGCAACCAATATATATATCATATTGACAAACAGTTCCTAGCCCATTTATATTTTGCTCTTAGAACTGAAATTTATAATTAGTTGAAGTCTTGCTAAATAATAATGTGTTGACATTTTGAGTCATTAAGATGTTATTTGTTGAAAGTGTTTCAATTTTTTTTTTTTTACTGACAATAACTTTTTTTTGAAGCAAAATCTTCAAATCTATCAAAATAACTTACAAACGCAATTTGTTTCTTATTAGATTATTGTACTCTTTATAATACTTAAGTTTAAAAATATGTATGACCAGGGAATAGTCTACAAGTTTTACAGAAAGATGTCACCTGTAAACTCTGATTGGCTGTGGAAAAGAGATCATGGGATTGTTGATTATGTGCAATATTCAGATATTAAGTTTTGAGGTGATGGCAGTAGTTTTCTCCCACAACCACTATAGGTTTTCTCACTACCAACTCAGTTGATAAACCTGCTAGGAGTTGGTAAACAATTTTGGTTACCCATTAGTGGGTTATACTCTGGACATTATATCATTGGTCAATCTTCTAATTATGATGTCTAATAAACAATGCTTTACAATGACATCTAATCTTCTATTGTGATGAAATAGTTTTATTGCAATTGTTTCACTGATTGGAAAAAGGAATAATGTATTTTCAAAAGAAACATGGTTTTCTAGATATAATATCAGAACTTTAAGGGAGTAAAAGCACTCTAAACTTTTGATGGCTGATTATCATATATACCTAACTTGAATAGTTAATTTTCTAATAGTAAAAGACACACAATTTGACAATAAATTAACTGGAGTTAGATAAACATGATAACAAACCATTACTCATTGGGGGACCTCTATATACATTGTGCTTAAAACATTTTGATACTAGCCTAATAGTGTTTTAGTATCATCTTTTCAGTTGTTGATTTTATTACATGTATCTCTATAGCTATAGGACAACTTCATGTTATGTCTCCGAGTAGACATTCCTTTAGTAGCACTTTAAACGGGGTTAAAACACCATACTATTGAGCTTGGTTCATTTATACATGTACACTATAAAGCTGTTACAGAAATTGTTTCATTCTGTTGCTGCTAAATATATTATGGATGAATGATAAAAATTACCACACTGGTATTTCTTCCAAAATTATGTTTCAGTTACGGTGAAGTGTACCACTAAGTTAAAATATTTCATTTATACCATTATCGCTAACATGAAATATTTATTTTAGGCCTTTTTCTACAATTTTTTTCAATATTGTCCATCTAAATCACTTCTTGCAATGCATTTTACTGAATAAGACCTGCTCAAAAATTTAGTACATATATTTGAAACAAACACAAACAAAAATTCTCCCAGCATCAAAATGGAAGAGGAACACATTGGCAAGGGAAGTAACTGTTTGCCCGCAAAACTCTTGTTTGTAACCTTGTGCAGGGACAGTATATTATAAGTCCCTGCCTTGTGTAAAATAGAGAATACAGAATATTTGAAATGTAATAATCTCTTCATTGCTGTGCAGTGGTACCATTTACCTTAAAATCATTATGTTAACAAAATGTAAATTAATTATGTTGCAATAAATTTCTTCAGTTACTCATATTTATTTATGCATGCGCATATTTTCTTCTTTGTTTTGTTCTGTATATGAATATGTCATTGCCAGGATTAAATCATCGTTATTTGAAATGCCAGATTAAATAAAAGATTTTCATGTTAATATTTGATTTGAATTTTGTTTTAGTTCATCTGACTTGAAAGGCCAGGTGAGCTTATGCAGTGGTCAAATGTGTGAAAACTTGTCAAAAGAAGCCTTGGTTATGACAATTGGCAAGTAGCATGCTGGGCTGAAGTAATAGCAAAATCCTTTAAATGAATGACATTGACCCACTTTCAAGGACAGAAGTGTCAAATTGTATATGGGTTAGTAAAATAAAAGTGCATGACAAGGCTTTGTGCATACATTAATAAACAAATCAGGGAAAAAAAATATATTTGTATATTATAATTTGTATCTGGTGGTTCAAAAAGTCTCTATGCAAAATGCTATATATTGTTAGTCTCCAATTGTATTATAACATTGTTATGACAGGATAGAAAAAATGTCTTTCATCCAATCAAACTCAATATTGTTACCATGATCGGCCGTGACAAGGTGATGAACCAAATTAATTCAAGGTCACAGATGATATTGCAAAAGCTGGCTAATCATTCTGTCAAACTTTGTACAAGGATTTGGCCCAACAAGAGGATAACAACTACTGAAGGTCAAGGTCATTGGTGAAGGCATAGTTTCTGGTAGGCACACCTTTAATTTCTCTTATGACTTCATTTATTGTGATCAAATTGCATACAGTCAAACCAGTACAAAAATAACCAAATAATTGTTTAAGTCAAGGTCAGAAACTGAGGTAAGAGCAAAAATCGAACCTATTCGGTTCAGAACAGGTCTATTTCATTGATGAAGCTTTTTAGCCCACCATCTTTAGATGGTGGGCTACTCAAATCACCCCTTGTCTGTGTTCTGTCTTGTCATTCCCTATTTCTCAGGAAGTACTGTAGTGATCTTTCTCAAACTTCATACGTAATCTCCTCTTGGACCTAATGTGTGCATATTTATTTTAAGAGACTGATTGGAGAAATGAAATGTCCAGCAGTTGGCCATCTTGAATTTTGACAGTAAAGGTATATTATCACTATTTCTCAGCATGTGCTGGAGGTATTTGTCTCAATTTTTTAAATATGTAGGTTCCTCTTGGTCTGTAGTTTTGCATGTTTACTTTTGGGACTGATTGGATAGCAAAGTGACCAAGAGACGGCCATATTGGATTTTGACAGGTAAGTTTTGTCATCTCTATTTTTCATACATTGTCAATTCATAATACATCAATTTTTGATGTTTCATTTAACATATATATCTGTTCAGAAATGTAACAGGAGAAAGAGAAAATACACGGCCACACCTGGATTCACACCGGGGACCCTCCAAACTCTAGATTGACACTCTAACTACATTTGTATGCGAGCTTCCTGGTTGTTCGCGATCTACCCAGCCAAATTCCTCTACAGAAGTTAAGTTATGGCCCTAACATGTATTTTGCAATGACTCAGATTTGTATCCCTTCATGTGGCATTGATGATAGGTGTTTAAAACCATGATATCTGTGTCATTTTGTACAGTTTTGATAACAAGCATCTTCGAGCTGTTCAGAAGCTATGATTAGCTAGACAACCATAACAACAAGAGGCCCAATGGGCCTGCATCTCTCACCTGGTATTAATCTCACACTTGTAATCTTAAAAGTGGACTAAAATACAGCTACAGGCAGAATATCAGTGTGACCTTGAATGTCAAACAATGACATTAGGTTGAAAGTGGGTCAATGTCATTCATCTGAACAAATTTGGTAGCCCTGGGCCCAGTTGTTCAAAAGGTGATTAGCTTAATTAGTGATTAGTGCAAATTTTACTTTTTGTGTATCTTTAAGAAACAACAATTTAATTAGTTATAACTTTTCAGAAATCAAATTGTTAGTGAAGTGAATTTACATACAAGTTTGTGAGATTTTTCCTTGTATATTGACAAAATTATTAAAGGTTGAAAAAAGTTGTTAAACAGTGATTAAGCTAATCACCTTTTGAACAACTGGGCCCAGATTGCTACAGGCCAAATATCAGTACCCTGGGCATTTTGGTTATTCAGAAGAAGTTGTTTAAAGGTTTTAACATATTTGACCCCTGTGACCTTGAAAATGGATGAAGGTCATTTATTTGAACAAATTTGGCAGTCCTTCATCCCAGCATGCTACTGGCCAAATATCATCACCTTAGGCCTCTTGGTTATTCAGAAGAAGTTGTTTAAATGTTTTGAACATATTTGACCCCTGTGACCTTGAATATAAGTCAAGGTCATTTATTTGAACAAACTTGGTAGCCATTTATCCCAGCATGTTACTGGCCAAATTTAGGCACCCTAGGTCTCTTGGTTTTTCAGATGAAGTTGTTTAAAAGGTTTTAAACATATTTGACCCCTGTGACCTTGAATATAAATCAAGGTCATTTATTTAAACAAACTTGGTAGCCCTTCATCCCAGCATGTTACAGGCCAAATTTAAGCACCCTAGGCCTATTGGTTATTCAGAAGTTGTTTAGATGTTTTAAATATATATGACCCCTGTGACCTAGAATATAAGTCAAGGTCATGTATTAGAACAAACTTGGTAGCCCTTTTTCCCAGCATGCTACAGGCTAAATATCATCACCTTAGGCCTCTTGGTTTTTCAAATGAAGTTGTTTAAAAGGTTTTAAACATATTTGACCCCTGTGACCTTGAATATAAATCAAGGTCATTTATTTGAACAAAATTGGTAGCCCTTCATCCCAGTATGCTACAGGCCCAATATCAGTACCCTGGCCCAATTGGTTATTCAGGGGAGTTGTTTGAAGATTTTAAAGACATCTGACACCAGTGACCTTGAAAATGGATGAAGGTAATTTATTTGAACAAACTTGGTAGCCCTTCATCCCAGCATGCTTCTGGCCAAATATCATCACCTTAGGCCTCTTGGTTTTTCAAATGAAGTTGTTTAAAAGGTTTTAAACATATTTGACCCCTGTGACCTTGAATATAAATCAAGGTCATTTATTTAAACAAACTTGGTAGCCCTTCATCCCAGCATGTTACAGGCCAAATTTAAGCACCCTAGGCCTATTGGTTAATCAGAAGAAGTTGTTTAAATGTTTTAAATATATATGACCCCTGTGACCTAGAATATAAGTCAAGGTCATGTATTAGAACAAACTTGGTAGCCCTTTTTCCCAGCATGTTACAGGCTAAATATCATCACCCTAGGCCGCTTGGTTATTCAGAAGAAGTTGTTGAAAGGTTTTAAACATATTTGACCCATGTGACCTTGAATATCAATCAAGGTCATTTATTTGAACAAAATTGGTAGCCCTTCATCCCAGTATGCTACAGGCCCAATATCAGTACCCTGGGCCATTTGGTTATTCAGAAGAAGTTGTTTGAAGATTTTAAAGACAACCGACACCAGTGACCTTGAAAGTGGGTCAAGGTCATTCATTTGAACAAACTTGGTAGCCCTTCATCCCAGCATGCTACAGGCCCAATATCAGTACCCTTGACCTTTTGGTTATTGAGAAAAAGTTGTTTGAAGATTTTTACATATTTGACCCCTGTGACCTTGAAAGAGGGTCAAGGTCATTTATTTGAACAAACTTGGTAGCCCTTGATCCTAGCATGCTACTAGCCAAATATCATCTTCCTAGGCCTTTTGGTTATTGAGAAGAAGTTGTTTAAAGCAAAAAGTTGACGCCGGACGGCGTGACGACGAATGCTGCACCATAACATAAGCTCACTTGCCCTTCGGGCAGGTGAGCTAATAATAATTAATTTGACATTTACCTGTAGAAAATGACCTTGACCTTGGAAGTATTGAATGGTTGTACCAGTTGTTAAGTAAGCAACATGCCATTTTTTTGCTTGGATTCTTATTTCTAGGATTTGACCTTTCATCTGTTGCTGTGACCTTGACCTTGGACATACATGTCTTGTTTGCAATACAGTATGTTGTCCAGTTGTGATTTATGCATGTACATGTATCAATTTATATGAACATTTATTCTTACTGATTCGCTATGGCCACGAATAACATCACCACCATGTTTAAAATTTGTCATTTGGCCCATTACTGCGACCTTGACTTCGAGAGTATGAACACAAGAGCTGAACATCATCTAGTGGTAATACATACGTTTCAAAAGGAAATATTTATACTTAAAATAAATTCAGAAGAATGGATCTGTTTTGTTTTGTCCATACATAATATACACCATGATGCAATTTTCAAGAACATAAAACCTGGACTGGAAGTGATGTTGGAAGATATGGAAATACAGAACTATATATTTCAGTAAATGTTTAGTTATATTAGTCAATGTATGCTTGTTTGTTTCATATAACATATATCTCTATTTAATTCATTTAAAGATCAACAAAAAACACATTATTCACCAATACAATCATTTTATTGTGCAACACAAATGTCTCAATTTCTGTACAGGGTTTGAACGTTATGTATACCTGCCCTTTGCAAGTAGAGACATTTGCTTTATTTTTTTAAAGGCAAACAAGCAACATGTTATTTATTAATTCATTACTCGAGTGTATACTCAAATAACTGATTATCTGTGTGAATACAATGTATTTTCTGCCCTCTTCAAGCAAAGGATATTTGCTTTAACTCTTTTACAGATGCACAGTTGAAGTTTCTGCATATGGAGGACATTTGAAATGATTGACAGTGTAAATGTAGATTACATGCATATTACAATACATCAACACTTTTTGCAGTTCATAAACTTGGTACCGAATGAGCCCTAATCCTGTTACACAAAATCACCTGTAATGGAAGTTAGGTATAGTCAGAGCTAGGTCCGGTTTCAGTGTGGGTCCAATTATGGTTCATGGACCTTTTGTGCCATACTACATGCATGCTAACATTTAGAAGGAAAAGGTTCATGTAGGATGGACCCCCTAAGCTCACAGTAGGTGCTTCGGGCCAGGTGGCTAAAAAAGGCTACATACTGTTACTGTATACGTAGTAGCCCTTGAGCTAGTGGATAATTTCCGTAATTATACACTTCTGATTCAAATATAATTTGGTGAGTTTCGACTGATTTTTGTTCTCACATATGCTACTCAGATGTTTAAATGGTAAAAATGTTTCTTAAACATTTCATGTGCACAAGTCAACATTCAATTTTTTTCTCATTATGCATTCTTAGAACCCACTGTGAAGTCATATAATTTCTCCTCATGGAAAATTCCTCTGCCTGTGTCTAATGTAAAGAAACCTGTGTAGCCTATAATTTTCATATTCAAGTCGGTCTTGTGCTCAGTACGGCTATGCAAGGGGACGATTTCTTTTAGGGGACGCTCTATTTTGATGTTTCTCCCAAAAGGTCCAAATGTTACGATCCGACCCTTCTTCCCTCCAGCCACCAAATGGATCTCTCGAACTGTTCTGGATGGAACCATGAAGCCCAATCCAGCCACCAATAAACCTGGGAAAAAAGTTTTAATAATTAGGTCATGATCAGTGGATCAATAAACTTAAAGGAAGGATGTGCCAAACTATAAGTTGTTTGCATAATTATATCTAGTAGCTTGAATATTTCTGAAAGAATTAACCAATAGGATTGAAGAAGTGCTTGAACCTCAGTTTTGATATGCAAAATCCAGACTCTATACTGGTTTTTAAGCTTCTCCTTATCATGTCAGACATTATACAAATTTGGTGAAAACCAATACTGTACGATTATGCATATTACAAATAGTCAGAAAAATAACTGTTAACAAGAGTACCGCGGGGCGGAACAATATACGCCCGTTGAATGCCATATAGTGTTATATACCTTCTTACATTGAAAGAAGATCTGCATCATTCTAATAGTGGTTAGCTGACATGCTATAAAAATGTAGGAGAAAATCTACGCACAAAAAAACAAATACTAAAATGAACAAAGGACAATAACTTTTGCACAAATCGTTGAATCAAAATTCTTTTAAGGGAGACACAACTTCATATCATGATTATAATGTATACCAAGTTTCAAAGAGATCGGTCAAAATAGTAGGAGGGGATTGCCGGACAAACAAAAACCCCATAGCCCATACCATAATACTTCCGTCAAATTTTGACGGGCGTATAAAAATTCAAGCTATGTATGATATCACTACAACAGCACCATCTCAACAATATTAATGCAGTTAACTGCCAAACATTTGAAAGTTAAGCATACTTGTATGACATAGAGGTAAACAACCATGCGTGAATGATAAACATAATAACCTTTGAAGATGTCATCTGTTAAGACTAGATAAAAGTAACTTTTGGATATTCCATACACTGAAATAACTGACTATCTCTTCTAAACTTAAAGAGGAGACAGTCAGTTAATTCAGCTTTGACTGTATATTCGAAATATGCAAACAGAAGCAACAGTCAAACATGTATGACTTTTTTGTTACATAGCAATATGGATCATGTCTTTTACTTTGCAGTGGAGATGGACCGAGTCGATTCGGCGGAAACTATGCAGCTCAATATTGCCATGTCTGGAGTTCGGAGGCCTGAGTTTGCTCAGGCCCTGAAACCTGACGTAGACATTTTGATAGATAGATATGCACCAGACATCTATCTGTCGAAATGTTTAAGTCTGGTGTCAGGAGCCAGAGGAAACTTGGGCTAGGAGATAGTGGTGTACCGATAATCGGAAACATCGATTAAATCGAGTTTGAAAAGGGTCCGATCCAATAATCACTTTTGCTGATGAAAGATCGATTATGTTCAATTGAAATTCCAAAAGACAGTTATAATTATGTAATTATATGTCAAATATGGCTTAAATTCCCGCTTGAAACCATGTCCACATTCAAGCGTCACATAGTCAATGTCAGTGGTCAGTGAATACTTCAACAATGTTAGAGGTTTACATGGCAAGGACCTTACGACAAGCACCTTGTTACTCAACCTTCCCATCGGCGATTTACCCACGTTTTCAAAGTTTGAATTTTGATGACATTAAGCGTTCATACCTAAATTTAAATGTCGACAGATTAAAAAAATACCTCTTTTTGGAAATCCATGAAAAATTCTGCATTATGTCATGCAAAAATGGATTAATAATGATTTCTCCTTTTCTAACTTGAAGCAGACGCAACATCTGCACTGACATTATAGATAGGGTGGTTAATATAACAAGAGGCCCAGAGTGCCTGTATCGCTCACCTGGATACCTAAGCAATCAAGGCAAACTATTCTCCAAATGAGATCAAGGGAGTATGCCAGACCACAAGGCCAATCCTTGTAGCATAGCTTTATTAGATTTTTCATGCCCAGCAATTTTATGTATGGTTATGGGGTGTGGATCTCAACTGTTTCCAAGCTTCGACTCAGACACTAGGTCCCTAGAGTTGTGGCCAGACCCCAGGATCAATTCTAATATCGTGACTGCATTTGTCTCTTTTTGCCAAGCATTTGTATATATAGTTTTGGGGTGGGGATATTAACCATTTCGAAGTTATGACCCAGGGGTTAAGTCTCCAAGGGTGGGGCAGTCCCCAAGGCCAACCTGGAAGCATATGTGCAATCATCTCTTTATACTCAGCAATTGTATATAAACGGTTATAGGGTGGGGCTTTCAACTGTTTCCAAGCTGTGACTAAGAAGCTAGGTCCCTAGGGGTTCGGTCAGACCCCAGGGTCTATTCTGATATCATGATTGCATTCGTCTCTTTATGCCCAGCTTTTGTATATATAGTTTTGGGGTGGGGATCTCAACCGTTTTAAAGTAATGGCCCAGGGACTATGTCTCCAAGGGTGGGGCCAGACCCTAGGGACATCCTGGAAGCAAATGTGCATTCTTCTCTTTATACTCAGCAATTGTACATATGGTTATATGGTGGGGATCTCAACCATTTCCAAGTAATTCATTATATTGGCCCCACCCCTTAGCCCGGGGGGTCAGCCCAACCTTTTGTACAATTTTGAATCTCCACCACCTAGAGATGCTCCAGTCAAATAAGGTTGATATCCATCACTTAGTTCCAGAGAAGATGTCACTTGAAGGAGTATAGCCAAATACCCTTTTTGGCCCTGCCCCTCAGCCCCCTGGGGGTCAGCCACACCATTTGTACAATTTTAAATGCCTGCCTCCCCGGAATGCTTTTGATCAAATATGATTGATATCCAGTGCACAGTTCTATAGAAGAAGTCATTTGTAGCAATATAGCCAAATTGCCCCCTTTTAGCCCCGTCCCTCAGCCCACTGGGGAGTCAGCCCCACCATTTGTACAATTTTTAATCACCACCACCTAGGGATGCTTCCAGTCAAATATGGTTGATATCCACTTCTTAGTTCCAGAGAAGAAGTCGCTTAAAGCAATATGGGCAAATTGACCCCTTTTGGCCCCGCCCCTCAGCCCCCTGGGGGGTCAGCCTCAATTTTGAATCCCCACCACCTAGGGATGCTTCCAGTCAAATTTAGTTTAATTCCAATAAGTGGCTAAAAAGAAGAAGTCTTTTAAAGAAAGCTAGTAAAATGAAGCTAGCAGGAGTGTTTTTCATGATAAAAAATTATCAATATGCTATTTTATAGTGATTGGATCCCCAGCTTTCAAATGGGGGTAATTAATACCTAAACTGTGAGTACACCTTAAGCTTGTTGTCACGAGTAGGTAATTTAAACCGATAATCGATTGTCGATCGATTATAGAGTTCCGATTGTCGATCTTGAATATTTGACCGATTCACTAGGAGATACCTGAAGCTGGGTTGTAAAGAGTTTTCTCTTTACATGGGGGTGAAGACATAGAGAGAGAACTGTAGTGGAATCAGTGATTGACCTGTGGAACTGGACCAGGTCAATCACTGATGGCTATGTAGCGCATCTGTCTAGAGTTCAGTCAATTCTCTCTTTCTTTTCCTGTTACAACTTTATTAGCTGCGATAACGTAGCTTTCTGACGACGAGAGATATTTTTTTATATTGCGCAGAGGAGGCCAGGTATTAATATTAGTACTACAACTTTATGTGTTATTGAACATATATATTTTCTTTTAAAAAAAATGTTTTCAATTAAAAATGACCTGTCCGAACCACACAACTTACCTACTATAACCATCACCGCCACAAAGGCGTATCTCATTATTTTGTTTCGTAAGGATAATCTCTGGGACCATGGTTTTTCCTTTTCCTCTTCAGTTTCAACAGGGAGGGCACCAAATAGCGTCCATGAAAAATTTGCTATACCAGCGGCTATACCCAAAAATATCAAACCAAACCAGGAGAAAAACGTGTAAATAGGATCTGCTTTATAGCAACTAAACAGAAGTACATCCTTTTTAACATTTGTATCCAAATCAAATAAGTTTTTGAACTCCTTCCCTTTGCTCTTAATTTGAGGTGTTTGACGGTAAAGTTCGTTTCCTGTACTGAACAGTCTGTGTAATTTCAGTCCCCGAATGACGCTACTGTCGGTTTGAAAGAGACATCTTGGAAACAACAATAAATGCTTTTGGAATACACGAGTCGAATGCCCAAGGTGAGAAACCGTTTTGTTTGTCAGCTTGGTGAGTTCTGCCAAACCCCTGACATTCAAAGTTCCAGCGGCTGTCGCAAACACTGATCGATTTGCAATACACACTTTCAGTAAGCAGTTATGATTTTTGGCAAACAATAATGCCATTATGATTTTTTCGGCGAAGTGTTTCACCTTAATGCAGTACCATAATGCGTGGAATTAACGTGGATCCTCAAATAAATCTGAATCGTTTTAAAGCTTTTCATGTCAGGTATAATATCTGAGTCGATTTCGGCTATGACTTCACGTAAAATAGAAACTGTATCATTTTTGATATTATATATGAATCTTTGTACCTTAAAATAGGGATACTTTCCTTTAGAAGTGTTAAAATAGTTTTGGGTACAGCACTAATTTTTTGCACTTGCACCATCATTTTGTATTTCTTTTTAAAATTTATCTTATTCCTGAAATTTTTACTGTCGTCGGGTTCCATTAGTGTAATTCAGTAAGTCTACCATTACGACAGATTCAGCATCGTTTTATGCTACAGAGATAGGCCTACATCAACAACGACGAAGGCGTTTCCAAGTGTGTGGTGGACTGCATATCATAATTAAGCTTCATTAGGTAAATGGCTTACGCTTTGTAATTAGTTTAAATGTACTGACCCATGGCCAGCAGACAAGTGCAATTGAAATTCCATCGTCTGCTAAAGTCACTCACATGACAATGACAGTACAGTAACATTTGTAATCTTTGTTTTGACAGTCGGTAAGAAAGCACCCTAGCTATGTGTCATGGGTATGATCACAGGCACCTGTATCTGGTATGTAAATACTAAAATACAATATAGTTGGGTAGGCAGACTTTTTTATTTTGTTATTAAGATACAAGATACAAGAATATTTATTGAACGTCACATACCATAAACATACAAACATTAGCTCAGTAGAGCTATGGCTGCGACAAACTAGGTATAATTCAAAACAAACAAAAGCATAGCATATGCAAATAAACATAGGCCTATACAAGGATGAATAAAATATAGGTGAGCAAAATAAAATATGCTAAAGTTATATAAGAAAGGTTGGTGTTAATTAACATAACAATATAAACAGGCTACAGTACTGCACTGAAAGATTAAAGCTGATTACATACCAGATACAGATGCTTGTGATATGATGCAGTCTTGGGCCCCTTTCGCATACCCATGCAGTTCAACCGTTTCAACCAACTGAACATGAAAAGAAAATGACAGAATCAGATCTGAACTGAGGCTGACCTCAGGAATATTCGGCATGTAACATGTATCGAGGGGCCCAGACGTGCCTGATCCAAACTAAAATGCTGACTTTTGCTAGTCTAGCTAGTAGATGCATAATTTCTTTTAAAAACAAGGTCAATTCATGTAGAATATATAAAGATGTTATATATATAATTTAGTGGACACTTGAAGGAAAGACACATTATTCTTGAATAATTGTTATTTATTTGTCACAAAACCCTGTAACTGTGTATTTTTTAAGTTATGCCTACAGTTTGGTCCAAATGCGTTCATTTATTGCTGAATAAATTTCTGTGCCTGCACCTGAACTGTTTCAACCGGGATTTGCGAATGCCACCTTGGTTTGAAACCAACTGGGCTGCTTTTGTTTATGAAATCAAGTTTGACATAGAAATCTGATGCTGCTTTCAGGCTAGCCTTGACAAAGCCTTGCAAGGCCAGCATAAACATTTGCAGGTCTGCCAGAATTTATACCAGAAAACGTTACATTTAAAAACAGTCAAACCAGTGAATTGTTCCACATAATATAAGCAAACAGGCCCCAGTATGCCTTTGGAAAGATAGCGTAAGAAAAATTAGGCTACCAATGAGCTAGGTATATGAATTAACTTTTGATCATATGTCATAATGTACAAAATGTAGCATTAAATCTGTTTGGTCGCAAAAGAGTTTCACATATGTTACAAATCTGGTAAACTGTTTGTTATGAAGACATCAGCCTTAATTCCTAATGCAGCATTATATTTTTGTTTAAAAAGGTGTGCCGGAATAGTGTGGCAGATTTTAATTGTACATAGGATTACCGTCGCCTTCCAGCTTTACGCTAGAGGGAATTTCCCTTTAGCTCAATGATAGAGCGTCCATTTGCTGTATTTTTAGCAATAAAATATGTTCAAAGCTATTGAGAGAAACACCTGACAAAGTGATGCATGATGAACAAAGGGCTATAACTCTGTATATAGTAGAGTGTAGGACCAAATTGGCAGTGTGTAAAAGTCTATAGCAGCCATCCAAATCATTTTAGGTTTAACCTATATAAATGTATAGTTGTCAATATCTTTCAGAAATAGTACGTACTAGCACTTTGGATTGTGGGTTCGCAAACAAGTGGTTCATTTTGACACAGTTTGAAATGAAAAATTAACACACCACTAACCAGAAGAACTGAAAAGTTAGCATGGAACTGATCAGAAACTGTTTATTGTATGTCAGGTTCCAAAAGTCAAAAATGTGACCAAGGAGGCTCCATTTATTTGTCTCCCATGTGTTGCATCCATGTCTTTGTCTATGTCAATGTATGCATTGATCAATCAAACAAATGAAACTGTTTAAATTTCTTATTCAGATGTGATTTATTATGTTCATATTGTGTGTGTGTCATGTCCTCAAAAGTATGCATTCAGTATTTTGAGGATTGTGTTTTTTCTGCAATGGTGGAAATTAAATACCCCCACCCACTAAATTGTGGTTCATGTGCTACATTCAGTTTTATCATTTGCCCACATTAGTTGATTCACACACATCATACACTGGGATTCAGCAGGCCATTTTTTTCTACATAATTAAATAAAATAAATTTTCAACATTTGATATAGCGCCCTATCTAGCTAACATAAGCCACTCTAAAACGCTTTACAGTACATATAGATATACAATTTAATACATGTCTTTTTTTCCGCATTATAAATTTAAGGGTTTATGACGAGACATCAGCAGTCAAAAGAGGACTTCTAAAAGAACTGCTAAGTAAATTAAATTGTGGAGCTAACTGAGTGATAGATGAGGTGGCAAATGAAGAGATGGGCATTGAATCAAGCACCTGTACTGTGTAGACACGCATTCTCTCATTCTCTCCCGTCAAATTTATTTCTTGTGCAATAAAATTAAATGCAGGATTAGGCTATGATTTGGTTTGGTATATAGACAGAGCTATATTGACTTTGCTGGTGTTAGTTAGGATCCAGTATTATGGTACTTCTCTGATGTAATCACTCTTACCGTCCCAGAGATGTTTGAAGTACAGACTGAGCTACTGATAATGGAGGGACTGACAGGCCAACTAAGCCACTGATGTTTGAAGGACTGACAGCCCGCTCATAGTGATTATTTAGATATTGATTGAAGATGTCAGGTCTGTAGCATCAACTGTTTAATTAAGCAAGCTGCCTGGGCACAGCTAGAATCTCAATACCTGTTAACCTGGACACCTAATTATTTCTTCTAGTGGTTAAAACAACAGAAAGTCATTGAATCAGAAGGAAGCTAAATCTGAAGTATTATTTCAGCCTCTGTAAGCAGCAGCATTCAATTCATAAGGAACTTCACCGGCTGATATTTCAGCTGCTGTGTTTGGAGAATAACAAAAATTAGTATTGATTTTTGGGGCCAGGCTATTTGTATCTGGTGTAAGGCCTGGCAGAGTTGTACGGTGACTGTCTGCTAGCTCCACCACAAGGATTTATAGATACTCTGCTACATTTTTTCGGTTGGATTCAAATAATTTTACTCGGGAAGGTAGGTTTCAATGCCTTATGTATTATTCACCATGTGAAACAATTTGCTTTACCTGTTTGGGTCGGTACTGAGTCTACAGAGCGTTATTGACATTGACATATGGATCAACATCTGGTACATGTACTGCAGCAGATCTTTGACCTACAGTAGCCTACTATATATAGGGCGAAAAGTGGATGTGATCATGCTTTTTATGGTTGTCAGTGGTCAGTTAGGGCTATTAGTTAATGGTCAGTTTCAATTTTTGTCCAGGTACAGGACAGTAATTTTCACTTCACTGGATAAACCGACCCTGCCATATGTCAATTACACACACTCCTGCCTCCCAGTGGTTTTAATTATTGATGAGAATGCTTTGACCAACGTGAACCATTCAAGTAAAACCACAATAGCAATGACCAACAATTAAAGTAAAAACACAGTAGCAAGTTTATCATACTATATACTGTATATTATAAATACATTATAATCTTGAATAGGAAAAAAAAGGTTACGACAATGTTTCTGAATATGTAATATATATTATATATTAAGATGGTTGTTGGGACAAATTCTGAGTTAAAAGCTGGTTCATAATGTCATTGATTTTTTTTTTATTGTATTCAGATAATGATTGCAATTAAAATTATGTTATTGTTTATGATGTACACAAGAATAATTACTTCAGTTTTCTACAATGCCTCAAATCTAACAAATGGGAAAAATAAACGGTTGTTGAAAACCCTACCATATGGCAGAATTTAGCAGTCCATGATGACATACTGTTTTTCACATGAATGAATTCAGTTGCTTTTGAACATTACTTCCAACACTTATGATGTTCCAGTGACTGCTTGTGTAAAATGTCTCGTTGTTATTTCATCCGTTCACAAAGCAAGATGTTAGTTTCAGTCTATAAAATGGAATCTGAATTTTTACGCTGAGCTGAAGTCATCCTACAGATAGGCCTATACACATATAAACCAAGAAATATTGCTGCTTGTGCAAAAACTGTAGCTGCAAGCTTAATTTCATCAGCAGTCATAATGCATGGTTGAACATGTGAACATGTATGTGGAAATTTGGGAAGATTTAATACACAGAACAACTAGGTAATGGTTTGTAATATTTTCTACATTTAACCCTGTGGGATTGTGAATCCCATAGGGTTCGAGATGAAATATATTTGTTGATGGAAGTTATTATTTGATTTATATCGTATCTAAACCATAGCAGTCACAAATTGTTTTGTCAATATACATATGGTGACCAGCTGATATGAGTCTGCAGGATTGTTTATTAACATCAATGCATTTGTAGACACAATGATTGCTTTATCAAGTTATGTTTTTAGGTCACATGAGACAAAGTCTCAAGTGACCTATATTGTGATTGCCTTTTATCATCGTCGTCCGTCGTACGTCCGTAAACAATTTACATTTTCGACTTCTTCTCCAAAACCCCTGAACCAATTTCAATGAAATTTTGCAGAAACCTTCCATGGCCAAAGGTCAACAAAAATGGTTGCCGGTTTGGTCCCCAGCCCCCAGGGGCCTGAGGGGCGGGGCCAAAAAGGGTCAAATTGACTAAAATTTCAAAAATCTTCTTCTCAAGACCCAGATATGGTAGAATCAAACACTCTTCATAGATGGAAGGGTCTTAAGGTTTATGACCCTAGGGTCTCACGTTTACCCCCTGGGGAAGGACGGGGGGAGGGGGGGGGCAAAATTTATTATGGTTTATAATGGCAAATGATACTTTGAATATTACATGTTAATAACTTGATTGGAATTATAACCCTGAGTTGACAGTTTGATACTTTGAAAATTTTGAGCCAGCCCTACCCCCAAGGGCTGTAGGGTGGGGCCCAAAGGAGTCAGTGTGCTAAAATTTCTTCATTTTCCTTGTTTAGAATCAGAGGTGCTAGTTTCAAATACTTTTTAGTCTTAAATCTGTATGCTAGATATTGAATAAGGTGGTTTTATTGTTTTTTGTCACTGAATAATATTTCTGCTCATGTTAAAAACAAAATCAACTCTCTGTATAAATATATCAGGTGACCGTTAACGCCCATGGGCCTCTTGTTAATGTCTCATTCCTAGTTATGTTGATTTGTCTACTATATATCTAACTGATAACCGACTCATTTATGAAAAAAATATAAATTCAATACAAATTTTAAAAAATAGTAATGATTTTCTCAAACTCCATGAAGAGTAATGTATGATTTTACAAGGATCTGAAAATTAAGACAATTACAGAACGAATTTTCATACATTTTCTGATGAAGAAAGTATTAGATTTTTGTTCAATTTGTTTAGGATTAAACATCCTTACAACAACTAAGGTTTTAAGCCTGGGAGGGGAGGGGAGGGAGGGATCCAAGATTTGCAATGGGGGCAGCAGATAGAGTTTGTTTTCTTCAGTATCAGAAGTCGAAGATTAAAACCACCATTCACAGGTATAGGTAGAATTGATGGCCGCATCAATGTTCACGTTATCAGTATATTATAGGCTACTGCAGTGGGTTACTGCAGGTCTGTTCCTTTCCCAAACCTGTTTTTTTTTTTAAAGTTTGAAGATTAATACCAAACCTGAACAAAAACTGACTCCTCCCAGATGGTATTTATATAGGCCTGACTAATATTATGAAACAGGATGAGTGAAGTATTCGTAAACAAAAATGGAAAACTTGGCAAAGACATTTTTAAATTACCTGAAACCTGCATGCCTTGGTCAGATAGCTCACAATTTTAATTTTGAAATATTTTACTGAATTATGTGAGGACGGTTTGTGAAGTGAGTATATTCATTTGCTAGAACTGTGTAATGTGTCCATATTTATTTGATATAAAATTGTTTAGAAATAACTTGGCCTGCAGTATCACAGACAAATGGATAGACTCGCCTGGAAGTGTTTTCTTCTAAATGTATCATTGTGTCAATGGATGTCATTTGAAAAATATATTTCCCATAAATTGTACTAAAAATTGACTGAGAGTATGGATTTTCCAATAGTCTGTCTTCACCACTCCCCTGCCAAGGGTGTAGCTGGATTGTAGACTGTGTGCAGACACTTTTGAGACTGCCAATAGGTGAAAGGGATGCACTAAAAGTGTTTGACAAAGTTATGTGTTGGCTGCATGTGTCTTCTGCAGCCTGATATTGTTATGCCCCTGCCTGCCTGTATTTTGCTATCGTAACCACTACCTGGGCACCCTGAACATGTACGGTTGACACAGTCTGAATCTTTGTGGTACAAATGTGTTGCTGACGAGACACAATTACCTTGACATGACGACCATTGATTATTGGTATTGGTGACGGTGTGTATCATGCCAAACAATGATAAAGCTGTCTAGCTGGGGGTTATCACACAATGCATAGGATGTGTATATACCGAGGTGACATTTATTGTCATCATATTGATGGAGCAATCAACAAGTGTTCATTATGATAACCGACTCAGTTTTTACTCGTGTAATTATCATATACTGTAGTATTGTATTTCAAACTAAATACAATTAATATTTTTTGTGTTGTTCGATATAGAAATGGTCTTTCTGCTTTCACTGTTCAATAATTTCAACAATTTCACAGATTTTTATATTTTATGGTATAGGCTTGTATTTACAGAGAGGCATTTAGATAGAGAGGTGACCTTTATATACAGGTATTTAGATAGAGAGGTGACCTTTATATACAGGTATTTAGATAGAGAGGTGACCTTTATAGACAGGTATTTAGAAAGAAATGTGACATTTTTAGACAGGTATAAAGACATAGAGGTGACCTTCATAGACAGGTATAAAGACAGAACAGTGACCTTCATAGACAGGTATTTACACATATATATACTGATGCAACTTTTTAATGTCATCTTAATTGACCAGATATTATTTAAATCTTATAGGTATTCATACCCAGATATATTTCTGAATAGACAGACATATTTATACTGTGTGATACCCTCAATGGATAATAGTGTAATTGCCATACAATATGCACTTGTAGCTGCTTGTGAGTATTCCTTTATGATTCTATCGTCCATTATTGATTGTGAGTAAATTTGATTGCGTTATACCTGTCAACACCTGTCTTTATGTATCATTGATTACAAGTGTAATTACAGGTGTAATCACAGGTGTAATCACAGGTGTGATCAATGGTGGAATCAATGGTGTCTGATACATGTAAATATTTACATTGACTGGGTGTATAGATTGCCTTTATTAGTTTTGTGTAGTCTATCAGTTTTAATTGAGAAAGTTACCTGGTATGAGTCAGAAAAGCCTGAGGATAGGACTGCAGTTCAGGAAACAAATGATAGCTTGGTCATTATGGGTATTGCGCTATCATCAGTTGGTAACTAAACATGTTGTGCTTATAACAAAAAGAACAGAGAAATGAAGAGAAAAAGTACCCCAGACGAAGTGAAATAACTCTGTATATAGAGGCACACAGCAGACTTTTATAAATGGTAAAAAGTTTTGCCGGTGAAAATTGATGTTACTTGCCAAACAGGCCCCTTTTCAAAATGATTAGGTATGTGTAGAAACATAAGTATGAGGAGTATTCCATTATATTTCAATAGTGGCACCGAGATCCTCAAGGATCTCTTGGATTGAAAGTGTTCAAATTACTTCTGTTTTGTGTGTATTGTCAATGAGATAATATTGATGGAACAGCACTAAAAAAATTCTCTCTCTGAGAGTCTCAAGTAGATTGGTAAACACTGAAATAAATCGGTAATCACTGACATGCTTTCTGTCAGATCTTTATTTCAATCAATCAAATCCACAAATCTATCGTGGCGCTCATCAACACATAGCATCAACATTTGACAGATTTACAAATACTATTTCAAGTCACCTTCACCATGCATATGAATGAGATTTACAGGTTTAAGTAGATTTGTTTTCATTATCTTCAAAAACATAAAAAAATAAATGTGGGTTCTCTCATTTGACAAATGAAACCAGTCCTGCAATTCACTTATCTACCAGTACATTGGCTGGGGG